TGTAAATATACATTCATATATTTAATTTATAATTTATGTATTATCTGTATACTAATCTAATATATATAACTTATACATATGTGTGTGTATATATATATGATAGTGTCTAGTACACAGTAAGTGCTAAAAAGAATGGCATCTGATAATTTATCATTATCATCATTTTATCATCCAGTTAGTTCCTTTGTGAACACTTGCTTTTGGGAGAAAGTACATTAAACACATTCATATTCGGTTATAGACAACAAGATGAGGCTTACTTGTTTTCTTTACTGGAGAATCTGCACTTCTCTTGAGGACACATTCTAAAAATAAAAGCAATTCAATTAAACACAGTGTTAGTGGGATGGGCAATGCCAAGTGCTGTCCGTGGTGCTGAATGGAAATGAAGGCGGAATGAGCTTACAGAGTCGACACAGACATCAAATAAGTTGACCAAAGAACCCACACCCCCAACCACACCACCATCAATAGAAGTGAAGATAAAGTGTCCCTGGGACTCAAGAAGTCTGATCAGAGAAGGGTTTGTAGAAGACATGGCACTTGAATTCTGTGGTAGAGCATAGTGAGTTTAGTTTAGTGGTTCATTAGAAACATGGTTATTGGAGTCAGAAAGATATGGGCTTGGATTCCAGCCCTGTCATTGGTAGCCATGTGTATCCTTGGGAAAGTTACTTAACCCTCTTTATCCTCATTTTCTTACCCTATAAAATGGGGTAGTAGCTATCACACTCACAACTTACTGTGAAAATTAAATGAGAAGATGCCTATGTAAAACACTTGGCATAGCATCTGGCACAATGACATAATAATATTCATAATAGCCACCTTTACTGAGTGCTTACTGTGTGCCACAGCCAATTTAGGATATTCTGAGGATTAAATGTTATTATATTATTACATTACCTTATTATAGTTAATCCTCACAACAGCCCTAAAGGTTTGGTGAGTTCTTGATAAACTGTTATTTAAAGCTTAACTCTGAAGGATGGTTAGAATTTTGATAGAGAAGATTACGAAAGCAGGAAGGTAAAGAAGAGAAAATGTGCATGAGGAAGTTATTGAGGATGTGCATGGAGCAAAGAGGTGCCTGGCTGGGCTGGGGTGTGGAGACTGAGAGGGGAACCAGGAGCAGGTGGGGAGGGAATCAGATAATGGAGAGTCTTGAATGCCTGGGTATGAAGGTGGTACCTCATTTGACAGGCAGTGGGGAGCCATTTTAAGGTTTTAAGTAGGATCATGGCATGGTTAAAGTTGTGATTTATTTATAAACTTATATTTTACCTTCATTTACATTCTAGAATTAATATGTTTAACTATAAAACCTTCAAAAGATGCAGCAGCATACAAAAGAGAAGTATGAGCTGATTGGACTGTAAACTGGTACAACTACTTTGGAAAATCATTTGGCAGCATCTGCTAAAACTGAACAGATGCCTGCCCTGTGGCCCAGCATTTCCACCCTTAGGTATATTAATGAGAGACACAGGTGCAAATATTCACCAAAGGCCATGCACTGAAGTAATCATTAGTAGTATTATTCCTAATAGCCCCAAACTGGGAAAAAAATGAAGTGCCCATCAACAGTACAGTGGATAGGTAGATTCTTATAGTGGAATACTATATAGCAATGATAAAAGCAGTCTACAACTACACAGAACAATGTGGATGGATCTCATAGAGTCAACATAACACTGAGCAGAACAAGCCAGCCCCTCCCTCCCAAAAGGCCTTGCTCTTTATATAAAATTTAAAAACAGGCAAAATTAATATCTAATGTTTGAGATCAGGATAGTGGCAACCCTTATGGCATGAGATAGAGCCTGGAGACTGGGCACAAGTGGGCTCTGGGGATCCTGGTAATGCTCCAGTTCTTCATCTGGCTGCTAGTTCCATGGGTGTGTTTACTTTGTGAAAACTCATCAGGCTATATACTAATGGTTTGTGCACTTCTCTGTATATATCTTATCCTTAGATGTAAAAGTTACAAAAAATAATCTTCCACACATCTCCTCTAACAATCTCTCTCCCTTCAGTTATTCTGCATTTACAGTTTGGTTCACATCCTCCCTGATTTTTCTGTGCCTTTGCATAAAGAGAAAGATGAAGCTACACTATCTATAGCTTTACAAAAATGGTCTTATGTTTTACATACTGTCCTGCAAAATGCTTTTTTAACTTCACAGTATGTTGAGGCAGTCTTTCTATGTCACTGTAGATGTGGGTCTAGATGATTCTTTCTAACACCTGCACAGTATTTTATTGTGGGAATGTACCGTTTAGTAAACCTATCTCTTATTGACAGACAGTTAATTCCAGCATTTTATTGATGTAAATGATACGTGGGGGAAACTTTTCATGCATAGCTTTGTGTACTTTTCTGACTGTGAATTTATCAATTACTAGGAAAGGAATATCTTGGTCTGAAGTGGTATGTTAAGATAGCTAAGCTGTTAATGACTTGCAGGATGATTGGGTTGGAAGCAGGGAGACCAGTTAGGAGGCTGTTAAAATAGTTTAGACTTGGAGCAATTAGGGTGGTTGACTGTGAAAATGGAGATAAAAGGAGAGAGATAAGAGATATTAAGGGCAAAGACTTTATATGACCTGGCATCTGATGAGAGAAGGGGAGAAGTCAGAGTGGTCCTTGAGGGTTCTGAGTCTAAATGTCTGGGAAAATTGGAAACATAAGTCAGAAGAAGTAGAGGGAAGTGGGACCAGGGATGGGGTTAGTTTTGGCCAGGTTACATTCAAGCAGCCTCCTCGTCATCCAGGTGGTGATGTCTAGAATGCAGTTGAAAAAATTGCTCTTTATGAATTAAGAGCTATAGATTGAGGCATAGGATTTATTTGCTTAGGGTGGTTCTCATGTTGTGGCAAGGGAATGAAATCAGCAAGAGGAAGGCTCTAGAGAGCGAGAAAGAACCCAAGGACTGGATAGTGAGGGCCTAATGTATAGGGATGGGGGCAGTGGTCAGAGACACAGGAAGGGATTTACTATCATGGAAGCATGTCTGTCTGCCTGCCTGCAAGTCAGGGAGGAAGGAGACACCATCGTTGAGTTAGGAGGAGGGAGGCCAGCCAGGAGAGGCTAGCAGGAGGTGTCCTGGCCTCGTCCTGTTTTCCAGCACTGAGACCCAGCTCCCTGTCTTCTTGCTGAGCAGGGTGATGGGGTTTGGGGGGCCGTAATCTCCCCTAGTGGGTCAGTCAGCAAACACTGGTGAAGGCCCTGAGGTTACCAGCTCATCCCAGACTCTGTGGGGACATGGGGAAGTTTCCACTAAAGATCTGACTCCACCCCTAGGAAACCCACAGTCCCTCCAGCAGTGGTGGGAGATGTGAAGCTTGCCTTGATCACCTGCTGTAGAGCATGGAGTAAAGAGACTGTCCTGCAGTCAGATCCCTCCTGCCTTCTGGCTCTGTGGTGCAGACCAATCCCTTAACCTCATGTCCTGGGTGCTAAGGCAGGGAGAGCAGGCTCAGCTGCCTCCTGGGTGGCTAAGGATTAAGACTGCCTTCAGGGCAGACACCCATTCATCCAGGAGTTATCAACTGAGCACCTACAGTGGCTAGACTGTTCTCACCCCTGGGGCTTCAACAGTCAACACAATGAAGCTCGTTGTCTTCAGGGAGTTTACTTTCTGCATCAATAACCCAACAGTGTACAACATGTTGGGGGTGGTAAGTGTCAGCAAGAAAGCCAAAGTAGGGTGATGGGTGGGAGGGGCCAAGAGATGGTCCAGGAGAGCTTGGATAAGATGATGTTTGATCACAGAGTGGGAGCAAAGGAGTGAGCTGCCAATGAGGGAAAGGATGTTCAGAGGGAGGGAAGGGAGGGAATAGAAGGGCAGAGGGCTATTGTCCTCATAATAACCCTGTTCTCCTGTTTTACAGTTGAGGAAATGGAGGCACAGAGAGGCTAGTAATTTGCCCAAAGTCTTACCGCCAGTAAGAGATCCAAGACAAACCTGGGCAGGCTGGTTTCAGGACCAGTGGTCTAAGTTGGTGGCCCTCAGTCAGGGCTGATTTTTGGCCCCCTCTCTGCAGGGGATATTTGGCAGTGTCTGGAGACATTTTTGATTGCCATGCCTGGCCTGGGTGGGAGGGTGCTACTAATATCAAGTGATTAGAGGCCAGGGACACTGTTAGATCCTCCACGGTGCACAGGACAGCGCCTGGCCGCAAAGCAATAACCCATCCAAATTGCTGGTTGTGCTGAGGTGAAGAAACCCTGGTCTAAATCGATGTAAAGCCCTTGACAGAGAATATGACACATAGTAGGTGCTCAATAAATAGTAGCTGAAGAAGAGGAGGGAGATGATTTGGAGAAGATTGCGGGAAGAAATGAATTCAAGAAGTACATGTTGGGTGGACTTAGAGAGTATTATACTTAGTGAAGTAAGAGAAAGACAAATACTGTATAATATCACTTACACGTGGAATCTAGAAATAGTACAAATGAATCTATATGCAAAACAGAACAGACTCACAGACACAGAAAACAAACTTATGGTTACCAAAGGGGGGAGAGAGGGAGGGACAAATTAGGCATGTGAGGCTAATAGATACAAACTACTATATGTAAAATAGGAAAGAAAGCACTAAGGATTTACTGTATAGCGTAGGGAATTATATTCAGTATTTTGTAACAACCTGTAATAGAATATAATCTGAAAAAAACTGGATAACTTTGCTGTATACTTGAAACTAACATAATATTGCAAATCAACTATGCTTCAGTTTAAAAAAAAAAGAGTACATGTAAATGGATCGGCCAGGTTAGAGAACTCATGTGATGCTGTTTGTTGGGTGGGTCTAAAGGGCAGGGCTGCCCCAGGGAGGGTGGGTGCAGGTAAGGTCGGTGGTGGGAGGAGGTTGATGGATGGAGGTCGAAACTGGGCAGCCACCAGCCTTTGAAACACTAACCAGAGGACTTGTCTCTCTGTCCCCTCCCACCCCATGTCTCTCTCCCCATTGCTCCTGGCCTCTCTGCCCAGAAGGGGACAGCCGGAGGCTGAAGGGGGCCATCCAGAGGAGCACGGAGACGGGCCTGGCGGTGGAGATGCCCAGCCGGACACTGCGCCAGGCCAGCCACGAGTCCATCGAGGACAGCATGAACAGCTATGGCTCCGAGGGCAAGTGAGTGTGGGGTCTGCAGTCGTGTCTGGCATGGGGTGAGGCAGGAGGGACAGAGGAGCGCCTCCATGAGACTTGGGTCAGTCTCAGGGGAAGGAGCACTAGTTCAGGACTCCTGGGTTGTCCTCATCCTCAGAAGGGAGGTGATGGAACAAGGAGGCTGCGAGGAGTGTGACTGGTCATCAGTCTGGTGCCCGACTGTCTAGATCTGAATCCCAGCTCCACCATTCACTGGCTGTGTGATCCTGGGCAGATCACCTCCCTGTGTCTCAGTTTCCTGGTCTGTAAAATGGGGACAATAGTACCAACCTCATAGAGGGGGTGTTATGAAGATTAAATGGGTTAATATTTATAAAGAGCATAGCGGAGTGGCTGGCACATCAGTGCTGGTAAATGAAGAAGGGGGTCAAGAGGGATTTTGTTAGGGTTGTTATTTCCTTTTTACTTTCTTAGTTCCTTAAATCCCAATTGGTTTTTAAAAATATGTACTACTGCTTGATAAGGAGTTTCACACACATCAAGTCTTAAAACATTGGGCCTGACTGGCTCCTCGCCCATGTGTCTCTCCACTGGCTGTGCACCAGAATCGCAGGGAACTTGTTACAAATACAGATCACGGGGCCCCGCGTCCAAGCTGCTGAATCAGAGTCCCTGGGAGTGGAGCCCGGGAACTGCATTTTTAAAAGGCTCCCTGGGGGAAGACTAATCTAGACTGGGGCCTCTCATCATTGGAGCAATTATGGACCCCTTTGAGAATTTTGGGAAAGCTTTGGGCCTGCTTTCCCCTGATCTATACACACATATCCATCCTAACACATCCACACACTCTTCTCACATGCATAGTCGTTCATGCTTCTCATAATTGTGCAGGGGGTTCCCAGGTGCCTCTAAACCCCATCTGTGGCAAAGAAACTTTGACCCAAAGTGACTTTCTCACTGTACAGGTGACCAGAGCACTCAGAGAGGTTGAGGGGATTGGCCTCGATCACACAGCATGTTAACAGGTCTGGAACCCCGGCGTCCCCACTCTCAGCCGGCACTTGTTCTGAGGCACCACATCTCCTCACTGTCTCAGCCATCCTTGACTAGGGAGGACCAAGGTATCAAGATCTTTGTAGAGCACAAGAGGAGATGGTGCTTGGGGAAGTTAAGTGTTGCACTGTCCAGTACAGTAGACCCGAGGCACATGTGGCTATCTAAATGTAAGTGAATTAAGATGACATATTCTGTGCCTGTGTTGCATTAGCCGTATTTCAAGTGCTCAGTAGCAGCATGTGTCCAGTGCCAGCCGTGTTGGACTGTTCAGATGTAGAACATTCCCATCGTCACAGAAAGTTCCACTGGACAGTCCTGCCGAGTGGCTCTTCCAAGGGCAGACACCCATCCAAGCCACTGAGGACTGGGGCCTGGCCACTGCCTTCTGCTCCCCTCCTGATCCTGGCCCTGCCTTGCAGCCAGGGGTGCTGCTGGCTGAAAGCCTTCCCACCCCCAGCCCCTCCTAAACCGGGCATCTCTGTCTCTGAATGGCCTTGCCTTGGCAGATGCTGCTGTTCCACCCACCTCCTAGGGAGACTTTCCGGAGGGCGAGAAGAGGAGGAGGACAGGCGGAAGGGAGCGGGAGAGGAGGAGGAGGAGGATGAAGAAGGGAACAAATGTTTTCTTTAACCTGAGAAACGGCAAGGCAGCGAAACCTCGAGGAAGATACTGTCAGCATCTGAGTAGCAGTGGGTCCCACCTGAATTTCAGGGGGTCAGGAGATCTGGGTCCTAGTCCTGGCTCGGTCACTGACCCCCTGAGTAGCTGTGGGCATAGTACCTTGTCCTCTCTAAGCTTCAGGGAGGCTGCTAAACATCCTGTCTATTGGCCTCATGGGCAGGTCAGAGGACCAGGTCATGGGGATGGCAGCGTGGTGCAGTGAATAGCAGCAGTGGGTCAAGCCCGTATTCCCATTTTGCAGAAGAGGAGCTGAAGGCTGGGAGAGGCCACATGACTTGTCCAATCGGAGCAGCATAGGCAGGTGTTGTGAAGAAGAAACGAGGCAATGCCTGCACATGACAGGGGCTTGGGAGGTAGCTCTTGTTGTCATTTGCTGTCACATGCTTTAGGCACTAGAGAGTCTGATTATATTACAGACAATTTCAAAGCCAGGACTCTGGAGTCAGACAACCCTGGTTTCATCCTCATTTTCTGCTTCTTAAGAATTGTTTGACTTTGGGAACATTACTTTACCTCTCTGAGCCCATTTTCTTCATCTGTAGAAAGAGGTCCATAATAATACAGACCCCTGATAAGAGTTGTAAGGATTTAATGAGTTAATATATGTAAAAGCACTTAGAACAGTGACTGGCACATAGCAAGCAATATTATAATTAATAGCTATTGTTGTTTGTTGATTCAGCCACTGTTAATTGGGTATTTTGCTCCCTGTAGCCAATTGCATCCTAGCAGATACAGTGAGCCACCTCACTGTGGCCACTGCCTTCTGCTCCCCTCACTGGATAAATGTTGGCTATGATGTTTATGATTATTAAAAGGTTTGGTGGGGGTTGTCTTGTGCCCAGCTGAGGAAGGATCATGTGGGCTGGAGGGTGCTATGTTCAGCAGAGGGGAGTGTCTTGCCCTCCTGAGAGGGGCTGACTCTTGGTGGAGCTTGGCCAGGTGCTGCCTGCCACCACACCCAACACCTGGGCAAGGAAGGGAGGTCAGAGGGACAGGTGGGGACATTGAGCTGTGGTTGGCCTCCTCTTTGTTCTGGAGGTATTTTGGGCACTGGTGGGACCCAGATGCCAGGCTCTGAAACAGGAAGGGGTGTGACCGTCCTCCCCTTGGGCTCCTGCCAGCCCAGCTGAGACTTACAGCGAGCCAGTGCATTTAAACAGCCCCCGCTAGCCTGCAGCCCCTGGCGCTGCTGGGTGTGTCTGCCCCTGCACTGGATCACTGGGCATGTGTGTTCCTGCAGGTGGGCACAGGGGTGTTCCCATGTGAATTTTCATTTAGCACCTACAGTGCCAGATAATTTTGCCGGGCACCTTAGAGACCCTGCCTCTCACTGGCCATGCAGCTAGTAGTGTGGTGAGAACTGCAAAGGACAGGCACGGCAAACTTTGTAAAGGCTGCGTGCTGACTGGGTTATGGGGCTGGGGAAGGGGTGCTCAAGGGTTGGGCCCTTCTACAGTGAAGATCCTTGGGCTCCTGGCTATACAACACCAGCTAACAGTGGCTTTAGCCCTTGCTGTTGAAAGTGTGGTCCACAGCCCAGCAGCATCAGCGTCCCCTGGGAGCTTGTTAGAAATGCAACATCTTAGGCTCCTAACAACATCCCCAGTGGTTCATAGCCATGTTAAGGTTGAGAAGCTCTGGCTTAATGGTAATAATGTTCTAGAGCTAACACTTTACAGAGCACTTGCTACATGCAGGCACTGTGCTAAGTATTTTTACATATATTGACTCATTTAATTCTCCCAACAACCAGATGACCCTGAAATTGTTAATATCCTCATAATACAGATGAGGAAACGGAAGCCAAGAGAGGTTAATTAATTTACCCAAGGTCACACAGCCAGTAAGCAGCTTCAAATTAGGGGATTCAAATCTAGCATTTGGAGTCTGCCTTTAACCAGCTCTACTCTGCTTCATTTAGTGGCTGTGTCTACCAAGATTTCTGGAGGTGGATGCTTCCAGGATGGTTTGGTGGCTCAGTGAGCCCTCTAGCTTTTCCCTCTGCAGGCCTCAGCGTGGTGGACCAATCCTGGTTTATCCCCTGGGACTAGGGAGGGGCTTTCCTTCCTAGAGCCCCTTTCTGGCTGTTTGAAAACTTGGTTCTACATGTTAAGGATGGAAGGGAGCAGCTATGGGTTTGGCAATCAGCCAAGCTCCCACCCCACCACCCTGGAGTGGGCCCATCTCCCCTAGATAAAGGGCAAGGATTCAAGGCCCCTGAGAAAGGGCTATGAGAACAGTACCTCCCTAGCCCCCTAGTTGATCCTGAGATACTCCCTGGTGACCATCTGCTTCAGTCTGAGTTCTCCAGAAGCAGACCCAAGACATGGATTTGAATGCAAGTAGTTCACTTGGGATTCTGGAAAACCACGGTGGAGGTGCCCAAGAGAGAGACAGGGTGGGGCAGGCATCCAATAGCATGTGTGTTGAGAAGCCAGCTGCCACTGTGGGCATCCCAAGCTTAATCCTGATGGGGACTCTGGGAGCCAGTGTGAGACAGGTGCCTGAGTGTCATTGCCTGGGAGGCCAGGGAGCCGGGTTATTTATAATCCCACTTTTATCGGTTACTGGTTGATGGCTATTGTCAATTAACTCTTCTACCTTTCCTGTGGCAACGTGGGCTCTGGAGGCCAGAGAAATTCCTTGGGGACCAGAGAAAGATAGGCAAAGGAATGCAGGTGCCAGCAGTTAGGAGTCAGTGAACACTGACATGGTGAGGGTCAGGGGACGTGCGGGAGGGCAGCAGTCTGTTAGGCTGTCTGAGTGCACAGCACCACTGTCTCCCAGCTGCCCAAACCAGACAGCTCCTGCTCTCTCACACTCCATATCCATAGAGCCATGACTGGGCTCTACCTTTTCACTCCTAATTGTCTTTGACTCCATCCATTTCTCTCCATCCCCCCTTGGAGGCAACTCATCCCTCTTGCCTGGATACCTGCAAGTCTCCTTTTCGGTCTAAACCACACAGTCTGTCACTCAGCACTTACTTCTTGTTTCTGCCAGCCTCTCCCAGTCCCAGCTGTGTGCCCCGCTCCTCCACCACCCTGAACCTTTTATGCTTTCCTTCAGCTCACCTCCGGATCTTTGCATACATCTCCCCTTCTGTGTGGCACTCCCTTTCCTACGCCTATACCCCATCTTCACCCTCTGACTCTTTCCTCCTCCACATCTCAGCTAAGAACTGAACATAAGCTTTATCTCCTGTGCCAGCTCCAGTTAATTGGTAGTGGCTTCCTGAAGTGCTGTGTTGAGAAGGATTCTGAAGCCCAGTCCTGGCTTGGCAG